GTTAGCTTGGAAATGAAGATGTGTGAATTGGGCATGTAAAATCAGTATGACATTTAAAAGAAATATTCTTTCTTTAAAGGTTTTAATTTTCTATAACCAACGATGGTTATAGAATAATTGAATAATTGTTATAAAAGAGGGATACACCTGGTAAATTTTTAGGTGAATATTTAAAACTCATTATGAACTCTTGAACTTCCTTGGGCTTTTTAATGTGATATGAATAAATACTAACTTAACCATTAGAGAGGTGTTGGCCATGCCTCCAACATAAGTCTTGTAAGAAATATTTGAACGGAGATTGAAAAGTTAAAAATTTCTTGGATTCAAAAGAATTTCACTTCTAAACAAATGATTTCATAGACTTCATCAAAGACTCTTCAGATGTCACTTCACTCCAAGACAGACTTCTTTTTCAATTCTAAACGTGGCAAGATTTGGAAAACCAGGCCATATCGGGTCAGCTATGGTATATCGGGTTGATGACCGGAATTAACACTAATAAATATTTTATTCTTTTTTTTAGTTTGAACCTTGTCCTTGTATTCATGCAATCTGCAATGAACAAAATATTATACTATTTAAGCTAACAAGTTAAAGTTAACATTCTGGTTGTTTACATATAACTGAATAGCTTTCTAAATTATTTTCTTATCAATTCCATTTAAGTGCACTCTTCTTTATTGAGGCACACCTTGCCCATGCCTAGTGCTAGGTTCTAAGAGACCTTAGCACCTTAGCACTTCTTGAGACTTTAATAACTTCTGTTTTAACTTTTCCTTCTCCCAAGATCTATATTATCGGCTTTAATCCAGCTCATATATAATTCATCGATTGATCAAACGATATGTAGATATATAACTAGCCAAAGGAAGGAAAGCTGAAGTCATTTTGTGTTGCATATGTAGATTTTAGTGGGATGAATTGTTAACCTTATCATTTGTCAACATTAATGGAATATTTATCTAAGCCTCGGCCTGGTGGTTTGTTCTGCTCTTTATCTTGAAGAGGTTCTGAGTTTAAGTCCTTGTGGAGGGTTTTATAACCTGGTAAGTATATTGGGGGGATCCCTTATGACCTTTCTGAAAAAAATATGAAAGGAAAGATTCTAATGGTCATTTGCCTTTGGCATTGATATTGCATAGTCCTATTGATTCATGATTTTTCCATGATAAATTTGACTTGATTTTGTTTATGGACCAAGGGTTTTATTTTTTTAGAAAGTACTCTATATGATTCTTCATATGTCCTCACTAAGTTAATCTTCTTCACTTGGTTTGTTCAGGTTCATGTGTCCACTATTGTGGCATTGAAGAGAGCAGATGTTGTGATTCGTTGACCTAAAGATAGCAATCATGTTCTTCTCCTTGTTAATGGGACCTATCAGTGATGATGATGAGGGATCAATCTTTTCCCTGACAGTCGGACTGCTAACTTGTTTTTGTTCTTGACTCGAAGTAAGTCTCACTGAGTTGCATTTACTTTCTTCAGTGGTTTGAGTCTGACTGGGTTGCATTTGCTTTCTTCAGTGGTTTCTTTAGCTTTCAAGCGCAAATATTGTACATATTATGTTTGGATCTTATCTTTGGCTTGATATGTCAGACAGAAATAACTAGTTGGGGTGAGCTCTTGATCTTGGCAAAGTTTGTATCTCTTGGAATTGGTTCAGAGATATAGTCATTCTCATTTCTTCTTAGAGTAGTTTCTATCTAATGTGCTGATTGGGGATTCAGGATGACCAAGCTGAGTTACAGTTACACCTTGACATTTCTGTTATTTAGACTGGCAAGAATGCCTTGCAATTTAAACGACCCCATTTTGGATTAGAGATCAAGTGTGTCAGCAGTTTGGTCTTTCTTGTTATATGTTGGTCAGACAACTGCAGTGCCCTTTCTTTACTGCTCAAGATGATCGATCTCTAGCAGTGGAATCAAGATCGCTAACCATTGTTGTTTAATATTATTTGAAACTGAAAGAAATCCTATTTCATCCTTTGATCTGATTGCAACCATGATCTCTTCTGGATGTTCTTTAAACTGCTCAAGGAACCATAAACATAACAAAATGCTTCAGAGCTTACAGCAGTGCTGTGCTGGTTAGTCATTGAAGGCTCTCTCCTCTACCAATCTAAATGTCCATAAATGACTTAATGTGCAAGCAGGTTTGTTCTTTGATCAGTGTCTTCCACTTCATCTCCTGAGTCGCTGAAATCTGGCTCTATCTGACAGTGTTTGATTTCTTCAACCTTGGTTTCAGTTTCTTATTGATTAGTTGAGTTTTTGGACCATGTTTGTGTCTTCCTTGGTCTAAAGCTGAAATCTCTCTCTTTGATACAGAAAGGAAGAAACTTTGGACCATAGACAACCTACTACAGGTATGTTCTTGAGAGGCTAGAAGTTGGACTCTTCTTGATGTGATCAGGCTTCTGCATGATTCTTGTGGCACAAAGTGGACGACGTACAGGCTCGTGAAACTGATTCCCATTATAATGGTTTTCAACTCTAATTTTCTTGATGGTGATGACCACAGCCTAAGGATTTGGTGAAATCCACAACTTTCATGATATCAACTGTCTTCACAGAAGAATGATATTATATGCTGCCGAAAAAGACTCCTTTTGCACATAATTGAATGGTGTTCCTGATTTGTGGGTCAGCAAAAGGGCTGCAAATGAAAAGATTGGCTCAATATTGGACTAAATATGCAAGCTTATATCAAAGCCTTAAGGGTCCAATGAAAGGATTTGTGAGTTCAAGAGCTGATATGATGATGAGACACATGTCTCCTCTTCTTCTTAATATGCTGATAACCTGATGCCAGAGTTTGTGAATTAAAGAGGCCAAAATGTTGACACGGCAACTATTTTCTCCTTGTTCTTGGTGATCAGGTGATGGTAATATGCTGATCGGCTGCCAGCGTTCATGGATAAACCTCATTCGATTACTTGGGATGGGTGGCATATGCTTGGCTTGGCAGTAAACCACATCATTTTTGCTTGCTATGGGGGAAGCACCTTCTACAATTAAGGTGGGCGAATTTTGGATCCACCATTGTTATGATGTGGCCTTTCCTCGCTTTCCATGCCTCCACATGTGATGTCTTGGTCATATATGACAAGGTCAGTAAAGGTTTTATAATCTCTCAGGTTCCATAACCAATAACTTACTCTGAAACTTTAGGAGGAGACAGATTCCAAGTCCTAGAAAGAAGAATCAATGTGTGCTCTTTATAGGTATTACAGTTATAGGTATGATCACTCAAACTTCCATAACCAATAAATAATATGCTCTCAAGAATTTTGGAGGAGAAAGATTCCAAGTCTTAAAAAGAGGAATCAATTATATTGCCTACAGTTACAAGTATGATCACTCAAGTTCCATAACCAATAATATGCTCTCAAACTTTTGGAGGAGAAAGATTCCAAGTCCTAAAATGAGGAATCAATTATTGCCTACAATTTTTTAAATGCTTGCAAGTTATAAGTATAGGTATTACAGTCTTTGCTACTCATGGTTGCAATTAAAACAGAGGAATAATATGTGAATAGACAATATTTGGTAGGATGAAAAAATAAAAATAATTTAGACTTAAGAATCCAATGCAGGTGCAATATTTGACGTTTCAAACATGTAGATTTCAGTTCGATGTAAACACATAGTAAAAGTGGCTTACACGGAGGCAATAAGAAGTATAAGATGGACTATTTGCTGTAAAGAAGAAACCCGTTTTGCGGATAATTAAATATCTCCAAGTGAACATATATACCACATTTTTTATATATCAAGACCACATGTCCCTGTGTTTCTGAAAATAAATATATGAAAAATCTTGAGCCCTGAACTTTGGTTTTTGAAATGTATTTGACATGATAAATATTTTTTTCCTCATTAATTTTTTTTGTTAAATCCTACCATATAGCTCAGTCAGTTCTGATATAATAATTAATTCACTCACTTGATGAGTTTGGACCTTTGATAAAAATGTTTAATCTTAGTTCAACTAGCACATCCAAAAATCCTTATAATCCAATTTTACTCTTTGATGGCTAAGTAAATTGAGATCAATGAATAATATTTTTTTCACTTAGATATATCATCGTGCTCAGTAACTTGATTAAATTAAAATTATTACATCAAAATATTTAAATTCGAATTAATAAAGTTATACCTATTAAGTCGTTATAATCCAATTCAATACGGTGAGGGCATCATATTTACTGTCAAGGACATGTAAAATGCAAGGTTGGTGGGGCAAATACTCAGACACGTTTGTCAAATATTAAATTTAAACCTATGCACATTGGATCACTCAACTCATCGTATTAAACTTGGGGGTCGGTTTCTCTTCCTTAGAACATCTCCAAAGGTATCTCGAGTTAAACTAATAAAGTATTATGCATGTACAACACCACCATACTGCTTATTTAAAATATAATCTAACATCTTAATTATTAGAATATCTCCATAAATATCATCAAAGTATTAAATATTAGCTCTTTTTTTAGACGTGAAAAAAATTATTTCATGTATCTGTAGGATGAATTGGATGTGATTTGTTTGTACCTTTTTTTTTTTACTTCTACATATTGATATTTGGAATATTGTGCAGATTAACATGAAACGAAACGCCAGAGCTGATGACGTGAATCAACACACGTCCAAACAACTCTATCCGCACGAATCGTAGAACAGACAGCTTCGTTCATCTAGCCGTAGGATCAGCGCACGGGACACCCCGTGACCCACCGTCATGTCATCAGCCGTTCCTTTACGATCCAACGGGCAGCATAGTGGTTTCGACGTGGCACACATCGCGAGGGATCGTGCGCAGGTTATTTGGTAATTTTTGAGATCGATGAGGCCGAGAGGTTGATCCAGCAATCACTAGAAGTCATACCCGTTTAAGACGGGGTCACCGTCACGTTCTGTTACAAGCTCGTCGAGTCGTCTCGCACGTCTCGGTTCGGCTCGGTGAACGCTATGTTTATTACGAAGGAATCGATGCGGCTGGCGGCTTCGAGCGGAGCTCGCGGACCGGCCTCGTGGGTCTCTCACCACATACCATCTCCGTCCACCGGCCCCCGTCCCTCCCGTTTCCTTCTCGGCTTTAAAACCCTCGCGACCAGCGCTCGCCATTGGCGGACAGAAGCCTTTCTCGCCTTCGCCTCTTCTTGCCGGCTTCTTCTAGTGTTTCGCGGCTCGTGGTAGGGTAGAGATGGCGATGGAAGCGTCGCAGAGGCCGTTGCGGTTGCGGTGCTCGGTCCAGAACTACGATTGGGGCCGCTTTGGGGAGGAATCGACAGTCGCACGGCTGTTCAGGCGGAACTCCGGTAAGGAGATCGAGTTGGGTCGGCCCTACGCCGAGTTCTGGATGGGCACGCACGAGTCCGGCCCCTCATTCGTGGTGGCCGCTGAGGGATCGGGGACGGAGGCGGTTACGCTCAAGAAGTGGACTGGGGCGAACCCTGGTGCTCTGGGGAATAAGGTCGTGGAGAAGTGGGGGAACGACCTTCCGTTCTTGTTCAAGGTTGCTCCTGTGCTCCAGCGTCTCTCTTTTGTGCCTGTTGCTCTTTCAGTTGGATTTGACGTAGTTTATTCTCTGATTCTGATGGTGTTTCTTAGCGTTCTGTTGATAAAGTAGGCATCTTTCATCTTTTGGTGTCGAAGTAGGCTGTTGGAAGTTCTTGGTCATTAAATTAATGCTCACTTTTGTTGCCGGTGGATGGGGAATAGATCTTATCAGTGGCAAAAGCGTTGTCCATACAAGCGCATCCCGATAAGGAGTTGGCGAGGATGCTACATAAGATGCGGCCGAGCGTTTATAAGGACCCCAACCATAAGCCAGAAATGGCGATTGCTCTAACCGAGTTCAAGGCGCTATGTGGTTTTGTCAGCATCGAGGTACATATGTAATTTTTCTCTGGTTGTAGTTCAAGATCTCTGGATTGCTTTTTGCTCGCCTCGTCTTTTAGTAGTAAAGGTAGCCTCTTTGATGATCTTGTTGTACTCTAATGCTTACTTTTTTTTTCCTGTTGTCCCTTTTCTAGATGGAAATCTTTTCTTGTCAATGGTTCATGGAAAAGAAAAAATGGAGGTTTAGATTTTTTTTTATAGATTTACATTTGGGAAGAGTTGAAGTATCTAAAGCAATCCCTTACTATACTGTTTATAAATGATGAAGAAAACAGATGGTGGAAATTCAGCAAATTCAACCTGTTTCTTATTGAAAAGCTTAAAATATGATGTTTGATGATCGTAATTACCATTATGATCTTTACTGAATTGGTTATATGATCAGTCATGTAAACTTATTGGTTTAAGAATGTAAGCTGCACTAAAATTTTCTTTTTTCCTTCTTTTATTTCACATTCATTACTTTTGCAATGCGAGAATTTTATTATGCTGTCATGGTGTTTAACGGGCTCAACAAGTAGATGGACATGTGAACCTCATTCTATTTTCATTGTTTGTACTATCGATGCTATTGTTTGCACCTACCAATACACCTTACCAACTCTTGGTATGCATTGATCTAACTGTTTAATGTAGTCTTTTGTTCATGTGATTCCTAGCTTATATTACTTTGGCATGCTTGCCAATATTGATCTATATATTGTTGCCCCCTTGCCTCTTAGATATGCTCTTATGGGGCATATTCCCTTCTATTTTGATGTTAGTACAGAACCAATCCTGAATGCTTATACGACTTTCAGTCTTTTCAATGAATCCTAAAGCCTCTTATAGTTTCACATGATGGTTAGATATTATTTTATTTGTGGTTTATGGCCTTTCTTTCTCTTCTTCCCAAATTTTAATCACAAGGACCTTCATAATACTTTCCGCATTTGCTTTCTGCTTTTCAGAAAGAAATGTGTGACTGCATTATGCGAAGAAGTCTGTAATTTCGCTTCTGTGCTGTATTGAACTGTAATGCTTAATCAAGTTCTTCTATATCATATGAAGAATAAGCTTCTTCCTGTGTCATCTTTAATTAGTCAGTTTTATCTATGATTTTTTTTTCTACAATTCATTTTGATACCTAGAAATAGAATCTATTTGTAAGATAGTGAAACAAGACGCAGAATATTATGTTCATGGTCATCTTGTGACTGTTCAGGAGCTTAAGGATGTACTTGTTGCTGTACCGGAAATTACACAGCTGCTTGGCAATGATGAGGCAAGCAAAATTTTAAGTCAGGATCTAAATGGATATGTGGATGCAAAATCTTTTCTGCAATTAGTCTTCACTAAGCTTATGACAGCAAGTAAAGAGGCTGTATCAGAACTGGTTTCTAAATTAAAAGCTCGTTTGGACCTTGAAAATAAGGTATACTCTGGTGTGCAAACTTTATATTTGCTTTTGAACTTATGTAACTAGAGGACAATGATATGAATGTCTCTATGTCACTTTGGTAATTGCCAATTGCCTTCTGATCCAATTCTCAATGAAAATTAAGTACAGTTTCCATATGCCAATAACTAAAAGTAAAATTTTAATTAGATGATGTTTCTCCTTGTATTTTGTCAGCTTTCAAAATTTATAGTTTCACTCTTAATTTCGTCCATTTTCACTCTCAAGTTATCCGTATTTGCACATGCCATCTGGCTAACCAAATGCTAACATAGGTGCATATTCCATCTTTTTTTTTGTCAACCAGGTTTTAGTCCTTTCTTTTTTTGCAAGTTTTAAAAATGTAGTAGAAATTTAGGTCGTGACTCATTTGCTCATATAATTGTCAACTTGGTTTTGTTCATGTCATTGCAACTAAGCCCCCACTTTGCTGTTAAAACGTAATATAGATGCTTTTATTTTACTATTGGCGTTTTTTGGATGTGTTTTTTGTGTTGTGTTGCTGTTGAAGCATTTCAACTGGATAATACACAGATACATGTATGTTATGTATCTGATCTATACTGGATTCTATAATTATATCATATTTGTTATATGTCACAATGCAAGTTCCTCTTTTCTCCATGCATCCATCCAACAGCAGCAAGCAAGGCTCATAGTAGCAGCTACAGCGCAAACATGGGCCTGGACAGTTGAATCTGCTATACTACTGGAATTAAAAGTCCAGTTGAGTCTGCCGTACAACTGGAATTAGAAGTCCTGTGACTCCTATGGGCGGCAGATGAAGTCTCATTACTCCTTTCACTGCATGGACAAGGATCAGCGGCCTTTGGCCAATCTTACAGTCTTTCAGACTCTTCTGAAGACTGATTTTCCTTCACTGCAGTGTCCAAGCACCTGCAACCAAACAAATAAATGGGCCCCAGATCAAGGACTGGCCAGGGAATGATAGAGGGAGAATAACAATAATAACAAGAGTGTTTTGGTGCTCTTTATTCATAAGCTAATGTAGGTCTTCAAACTCATCTTTAAATGATCCTTTTTGCGTAAGATTGTATGTATCATAATTTTCTATCCCAGACTGATTTGATTAGTTATTGTTGAAACATTTTTTTTCTAGCTGCTTTAGAGCTGAGACTATTAAATACTTTGCAACTCTTTCCCAGTTTCTGTTGTTACTCGAATGTTACAATTTTAACTAGTTTCATTACTTCTATTAGATTAGGACATTAACTGAGAAAGAACAGCTTGTATTACTTCTGGAGAAGCAGTACCAAGCTGATGTTGGGGTTATAGCAGCCTTCTTGTTCAATTATGTGAAGCTCAGCCCAGGTGAAGCACTGTATATTGGTCCAAATGAACCCCATGCTTATATTTCAGGCGAATGCATCGAATGTATGGCGACATCAGACAATGTTGTGCGAGCTGGACTGACACCCAAGTACATAGATAAGCAAACTCTTTGTTCAATGCTGACATACAAACAGGTCTGGTAACTTCTAAATAGAAAATTCCCTTTCTAAATAACAATAACTTATACTAATTCCTGGGTTATAAAATAACTTATGTGCATTTACTATTGTTGATAACTAAGAAAAGGTGATACATGTCTATATGTTTAGCAAGATCACTTATATAAATTTCGAAACTGGGCTACTATTTTGCTCCTGCAATTTTCTTTGAAGAGATTAATTTGAAAGAGCTTAGTGATCAAAATGTCTCTAGTGCTGTTGATTTACTTTTTGTTAGTGCTTTCTGACCTTCTTTCTTAGTCTGGAATAGGTGGTTTCTGTGACAATATTGAAGCTAGGCCTTTGAAACTTTTAGATTTATATAAAATTTGATTGCACAGACGGTGTAGGATGATGCAGCAAGGTGAAATAGTTCCGTACTTAGCTATGTAGTAGCCTTATTCTGCAAAAAATTGCTAATTATTTTTTTCATTGAGGTGGGTCAAGAGGAAAGTCATTAGTGTGTAGCAAATGTTGGAAAAATTATGTATTTGTCGGATGAGTATATTTGGAGATGATAGAGCATGATGAACCACATACATATAAATAGCCTAAATAGGATGTTGGTGCCTGTTAGATTGATCGTCCATGTGGGATATGTAATAAGTTTGTTTATCATTTTGCTTATAGAATTGCACTATGGATAAAGAGCTTTGCTCTTCACCGTAAATATTTATCGATCTACTTTATTTGATTCAACTACAGAAATTTTGTTCCTGTATGATAAGCTAGTAATATTATTCATGTGAACTTGTGCAGGGCTTTCCTGTAATTCTTCGAGGGAGTCCCATAAACCCTTATGTATCACGGTTTAGACCTCCATTCGATGAGTTTGAAGTTGATCGGTGCTTACTTCCATCAAAAGAGTCTGTTGAGTTCTCTGCCATACCAGGACCATCTATTTTTGTTGTGGTGGCTGGGGAGGGCAGAATGGAGGTAAGTTCTGTGGTTGAGGAACTGAAGATAATGGAGGGGGATGTGTATTTTGTGCCTGCTCAAACTGAGATTAGACTAAGTGCTTGTGCTGATGGACCGATCAAGCTGTATCGAGCTGGAGTGAACAGCAGGATATTTGCTTAATGCATGCTTCAATTTTTAGCAGTGCAAGGTTATTAAATATTGGGAGTTGCACATTCATTACGGTATGAGAGATAATCTACGTAGTTCACTTGTGTTATTAAGTAATAAAAGAAAAGCATAGTTGTCTATCAGAACAACTAATATGTTGGCCGTCGTTGCAATCTGCAGACCATCTTGTTCAACATATTTGATAATTTTCTACGAAAAAATGAAAAACTTTTGTTATTATTATAACTGCAGATTCTTTTTGTTCAAGACATTGATAGTTTCTGATAGAAGGGAGAAAAGGTTCACTGATGTGTATGCTTCAATGTTTAAGTGCAAGTTGTCCGCTTCGCCAATATATTATTAGATCTGAATTTCTTCTCTGTTCAAGTGGTGTTTAAGTGCAAGTTGTCCGCTTGGCCAATATATTATTAAATCTGAAAATATGAATCTAGCATATCTTTTACTGGTACAAATGGAATTTTTGGATAATTACTAAAGGAAAAGGTTGTATAGGTTTAGTGAGCAATATGGCTATTGTTATATTAGCTCATCTAGTCTGTCACCATTTTCACACTTAAATATATATTAAAAAAATCAGATCTAACTATTTTAGTCATAAAAAATAATTAAATATATATAAAAAAGGTTGTATAGCTCATCTTCTCTTCTCCTTTACATGTGCTTATTGATGCTAATCATAGCTAATCATATGAAATGATGTCACGTGTAAAATGACATGTATTTTATTATTATTATATTCTTTAATATTTTATTATTTTATATTATTTATTACATGAATACATTATGATTTTCATGGATTTGTACAGTAAGAATCGGATCGTGATGAAATCATAATAATGAAACCAATTTACTTTTAAACATAAATCCTAGATAATTCCGATCATAGGTTACTTGAGAGGGACATCGAGATAACCAGACAGACTAGTATACTATATATGATGAAGACGGTTGGTCTCGTAGCTACTTATGTGAGGACACTAGGGATATAGTGTAGGTGCTCATTGGAGAATGAGTTCACTAATTGATCCGTTCACGGAATGCTGGATGGTTGATGATGTCTTATTATCAGATATCGATTCCGTTGTCCTAGTGGTATATTTGGTCCTTAGACTTAAGACATCAAGGATGTCATGTATGAGTACTCAACTATTTGATACCAGACTTATAGGCCTATAAAGTTTCAGATTTAGCACAGTCGGTCATCGGAAGTGATGGTCAACATTTCAAGGGCTATTGAGTGTCTATAGAGGATCATCCGCTCTCAGTATCATGAGAGCAATATCCCATGTGTTCTTACTCAAATAAATCCATGATCACGGTCATTCAGATTGAGAGAGAAAGAGTTTTTTGGGAGAATCCGATTAGTGCGAGACTTGAGTAGAAACTGTATGGGCCTAACAACACTATACTTGGTATACAGTCTTTAGGGTATTAGATGAATGATGGAATATAAATACATGGTAACTGTGGATAGACGAATCCAATCGATTAGATTCCCTTGTATCGTTTGAGAACTATACCGTAGTGGCCTAGTACGTCCGTAGTCGATAAGTCGAGTGAATTATTATGAAGATAATAATTCACTGAGCCAAATGGAGTTATGATAGGTATGACTCATGGCCAACTCGATATTGGGCCTAGAGGGTCACACACATATGGTAGGTGTTGCAATGAGTAGAGGTTCAGATGTGAGATATCTGTTGGAGCCCATATCTTATTGGATATCTAATAAGCCCTTGAATTATTGGATCATATGGATGAGATTCAATAAGAGCCAATAAGAGATTATTGGGTAGAGACCCACAAATCTAAGAGGCTTTGGTAGTTGGATAGAGATCCAATACCTTGTTGAATCTCAGATTTTGATGATGAAATCATTTGATGAGTTAACGATCTAATCTGCGTTTTGAGTGACGTAGGACTAATTTCGATCAGAAAAAATAAATTAATTAAAGCAGGAGGAATCAGAAGTTGGGTCGAAGTGAAACATGTCAGGAGATTGGTCGTTGAGCCGAAGGATTGGTTGATGTACTGGCAGAAGGACTTTATACCATGAGTTCAAGCATCGGGCCGAAGGATCAGACATTGCACTAAGGAGAATGAAAGTTACAGGAGTCAATATGCCAATTGGGTAATATGCCGAAAGAGAGGGCGATGCGTTGAAGGATCGGATGAAGTGCCGGATGAACTAGTGACATGCCGGACAACATAGGATTCATGCTTATAATCATGTGTCTAGATCGAGTTAGTTTAGGTCTAATTGAGTCGGTATTAGGTTGAAACAATGCTAACTCAATTATAGGCCAATTGGGCTTAAATCAAGATTGAATTGGGCTTGTTGTTTGGCCCATTCAGTGACTTGTAGTAGGGTCAAGCGGTGGTATCGCCCAAACAAAGTCTCCCAGACTATGTCAGGTGGTGGTATCGCTAGATTAGGTGATGGTACCGCCCATTGTTAATGTGTCAAGAGATAGTACCGCTAGTCTAGGCGATGGTACCACCAAGTGTTAGAACTGACAAGCGGTAGTACCGTCCAATACTAGCGGTGGTACCGCTAGTACCCCAAAATCTCAGGGATTTGAATTTTGGCTCCACTTTTTGAAGCCATTTGGGGCCTATAAATACTCTACTCTTCCCTACTTAGTAAACACATGAACTTTGAACATAAATTGAGGAAAATGTTATTATAATCTTGAGAGTTCCCCTCCTTTTCTCTAAATGTGTAATTTCTATTTAAGGGAGAGTTGAGTAGTTGTAAAGGTTATCTCCTAAACCTATAAAAAGGAGAAAAGAGTTGTAAGATGGTAGTTGGTATTCACCCATTGAAGGAAGATCGTTAGTGGATGCCGGTGGCCTCAATGGAGGAGGAATCGGGAGTGGACATAGGTCACAACTACCGAACCACTATAAATCCAGTGTGATCTTTTCTTTTCCATTTATATTATGCTTTCTCTTTATATTGCTTACTGATTTGGCTGCACAATCCACTTTACACCCTTTTTAATGTAAACGCATTTTCGAAACGGGGTTTATCGAATGCAAATTTTAAATCATTGGAAGGTTTACGAAAGAACTAATTTAAACCCCCCCCCCCCTCTTATTACCATTCACGATCCTAACATACCCAATATGGTAGGATCAATTAGGGTTAAGTTGATAGGAGACCTCTATAAATAGGAGATAACCAAAGGGCTATGGGCTAGGTTCTTTTTAGTTGTCACTTCCTATTCTTCTCTCTCCCTCTCCTCCTTAACCTGTAGCCCCTATTTGGGGCGTGTGGACAACAAGAAGGGGCAGTCCCTTCTTGATTACATGGTGCACATAACAATGAGGATTGTGCAGCGATTTGAGGAGCATCTTCGCAGCCTCTGCCATGTGGATCACCACTAGAGAGGAGGACAATTGACCTCTTTCATCCTCTCCCATAGATATGCAGGTTTTCAGGGATATACGATCTCCCTAGGTAACACAATCTTCCTTGTACGTGCATTTTTTTGGTTTTACAGGTTTTTACACATCAATCCTCGCACGACGATGAAACCTTATTTTTCTACGAAAATTATGAGATTTTGTTTTCTGTTCTTCCACCATGCAAGTGATGTCACTCTAGATTTCCTAATAATGGTATCAGAGCCAGGTTGCTTATGCAAAGGATTGATTTTTAAACTGTGTATGTTGTATTTAATCGCGTAGAAACTGTTTTAAGCGATTGCTATAATTTTTGTCATAGTTTTTGAGATCTGAACTACACGTCTTCTCCTTGTTAAAAGGTGTTTTAAATCGATGTTTTGTTGCCAAATAAGTTATCGCAGAATAGAGGGCAAAGGGCAGCAACTATTGGTTGCTACCATGTGGTTTGGCTGAAGGCTGCTTGTAGCCTTAGCCGAGAGTATAACATGCTGCTCTCGGCCTGGCCAAAGGCAGTAAGGCCGAAAGTAGCAAGGGGGCTCTCGGCCTAGGGTTGGCAACCATTGCAGCCAGGTTTCCTGGCTATAGGGGGCACCACAAGCTACTAGGGTTTCCTAGTCGCCCAAGAGTCCCCGACTGTTGTGACTCTTGGTCGCATGGGGCAAGGTGGCAGTTAGGGTTGTAAGGAAATCTAGGAGTGACATCACATGCATAGAGGAAGAACAAAAAACAGAAACCCTAAATTTCTCGAAAAGGTGTTCATTGTTGTGTAAGGATTGGTGTGTCAAAACTCGTAAAACTTAAATCCACGTGTGAGATATGTTGAACCTTGGATTTTGATGATGAAATCAATTAATAAAATTATAATCTAATATGCATTTGACTGACGCAAGACTAACCTTGATCAAGGAAAGACAATTCGATTACAGAAGGAAGAATAAAACGTTGGGCCGGAGTGGAACATGAAGATTGGATGTCGAGCCGAAAGGTCTTCGTGCCATGAGTTCAGGCATCGGGTCAAAGGATCGAACATTACGCTAAGGAGATCGGAAGTTGCGGGAGTCAACATGCTAATTGGGAAATATGCCGAAAGAGAGGACGATGCGCCAAAGGATCGGACGAAGCGCCGGATGAACTAATGGCATATCGAACGATATAAGATTCATGCTTGTAATCGTGTATGTCTAGATCGAGTTAGTTAGGTATAATTGAGTTAGTTTAGGGTGTAACTATGCCAACTTGATTAGGGGCCAATTGTGTTAGGATTAAGTCGGCACTAAGAGGGGGGGGTGTAAATTAGTGCAATGGATAAAATTACGTCAGTTCGAAAATCTTTCGTTCGATTAAAACTAATTTCGGAAAGATGTAACTTGAAACACGTTCATAAGAGTGTACAGCTAAAGTAATGAGGAAGGATGACAGTTTGCAATAAATGTTAATAGCCAAGAAGAAATGCAAACCATATTTTATAGTGGTTCGATCATTGTGACCTATATCCACTCCGATTCCTCTTTTGCTGAGGCCATCGGCATCCACTAACGGTCTACCTTCAATAGGCGAAGTCCAACCACTTTCTTATAACTCTATTCTCCTTTTGTAGGCTCAGGAGAGAACCTTTACACCCCCACTTCTTTCTTAAACTACACTAACACTTAGAGCTCGAGAGGAGTTATCACAAGATTACAATATCATTTTTCTACTTTTTTGCTCTCAATTCTTGTGTGTATTAATCAGGGATGAGAGGAGTATTTATAGGCCTCAAGTGGATTTAAACTTGGAGCCTAAAAGTATCTCATCCTTGGTTTTCGGGGTACTAGCAGTA